TCCTCTTCTGTTACAAACTTAAACTGAAAGCTGGAATATTGGAAAAATTCTGTCTTCTTGTCAGTGAATTCAGCAGCAATGTGCAGACAAACATGCAAACAGACATTTCTGATGATTTTCTTAAGATGTGGAAAACTCCTTCAGGAGGCGTCATTCCTCTTAAATGAACACAACTTGTCTCCTACACCCACTCACACACTTGGCTGGCTTCTCTCGTTGTGAAAGACTGAATATCTGTGCACCAGCAGCTGTTTGACTTTTGAACGCTGGCAGCGGATTCATTTGTTTACCTTGGATTCAAATGTCAGCTTTGTCCACATTATGTCCCAGGTGAAAGGTATATGAGAAGACACGTTTGAGTCACTGATTCTTTTGTCCGATGCTTTTATTTTACTTCATCTCCGGCCCTTCAGATGCAAGTAAAACAGTACAGTAAGCAATACACAGTACAAAGATAATTTGGGTTTAAAAGTGCAACCTGAGTGTACACAATATCAGCAAGCACCTGCTGTGTGCATGAAGTAAACTGCAGGTGAGTTGAAGCTAAAGCTGCAACCGCCTCTTAAATTTCAGGATTTCATAGATGTGCAAATAAAAAAACAAGGCTGTGCAGCTCATAGTGAGGAATCTGTTCCCGGTATTTGTACACTCAGCCCATCAGGTAGCTCAACTTTGAGACTTTGCAGATTTAAGATTGTTTGAGCATGTAGATGTCATAATGTTCCTGCTTTAAATCTTTTTTTTTTTTTTTTTTTAAAAAAAAAAGCAAAACAAAACAAAAAAACCCCAAACAGTTATGGGACAAAACAAAAAAGTGAAATATCCTGAACTGAGTTTAAAATAGTAAATGAAAATGGGCACATTTTGACATTTTAAAAAAAGATAAAATAAATAAAATACCAGAATCAGCATTACAGATACTGTTAGTTAATCCAACTGTGTTTGAACCTTTTGTCAAGAACCTGAGTGTACTTTAAATAACTTTTATCTTAAATCCATAACGACATTGCTCCACCTCTTCTCAGTTTTTATACCATCACCTTTTATGCCATTTCCGCAACTTCATTCATTTTCATATTCATTCATATTTTTAAGATTTCTAAAACTTTGCTTTATGTAAAACGCCCAACAGTAAGTAGTGATCAAAGGCCAAAGGTCAGCTCCACGTCATTTGTTCTCTATTGGTTTATCCTTCATTTACATTTTACCTTTTAATTTAACCTTGGACTAAACTAGGCTGGTCCAATTATTGAGGGGACAGAAATTATGACTGCGAGTATTAAATAAAAGTAAGGGTGAGGAGTTTGTAGAAGGCATTGCTGCACAGCTCCTTGTTACATTTACTTCTGATAAAGTCGTATCATTAAAAATCCGAGTTTATCACACCCTAGAAAACACAACCAATTACATCTCAGTCATAAAAATGTGGAAACTACGCATCTGCTCAGAGTTACAGAATTACAAATGTCCTTTAAAAATGTTTCACTGTTTTATGATATTTCTGAAGGAACGGGTTTTAAATGAAACGCTGTTATCGAGCGCCGTTGTATCAGCTGTTGGATAAGTTCAAGGCCAGGGTAACTAGTAGGACACAGAGATAATAACAAAAAAAAGCTCAATAGTTGCAGAAATACAACTTTCTGTGTGGTTAAACTGTCATCAAATGCTTAAGGTTTGAAAAGCCTGACAACTCCCAATTTGAAATGCATCAGATGGGGCAGTAGTGTGCATTTAAAAAATTGTTTAGAGATAATTTTACTGGAAAATAAATACAAATTCTGATTTAAAATAAAGA